CCTGTGTATACAAAATAATCAGTAGCTACACAATAGTATCAAGTGTGTATGTACAGTTCTGTACCAAAGCAATGACACATGCAGGAGATGGTTCATTCTGTAGAGTCAGCAGAGAAACAGTCAAATAACAAAAAACCCCAATCTATCATTGCATTAAGATCAACAGGATAAAAATATTATGTCAATACAAAGAAAAACAGTTTTGCGTCAAAGAAAAGAAGAAAGTGACTAAAGCTCAGGAATATAAATTCAAGTTATCCTGAATGATTTATTCCACAATGGAATTTGTACAGCCACAGAACAAAGAAAGTCATAACCAGTACCTTGAACAGTTACACTGGGGGCTGGGAGGGGGCATTAAGTAGGCAGAATACAGCAAAGCAGGTGTATTATTTGCCTTTCTCATTGCTGACAGCAAACTATGAATTAATCAAGGGATTAATACACTGATTAGGTCAAAGCTTTCAAGACCCAATCACTTTCCCCAAAGCCCATAGATGCAATCCAAGCCTTCAATATTTTATATTCAAAGCATAACAACAGAGGAATTTTATATTCAAAGCATAACAACAGAGAAATTTTTCTAGAGGCTTAAGGTGTTACCTTATAACATTACTAGCTTTAGGATTGGTGGAGTCTGGGGGGTCTGCTAAGTCTAGTAATGCATTGAGAATTTTATCTAATAACAATAAGAACATTAGAGCAAGAAACAAGTTAAATGGCTATTAAAGGGCTGAAGATAGCCCAAGATAGGTTTGGCTCTTGACCTATAACATTTTTTTACCTATAATCATAATGTCCCATCAGCCAACGTCAAGCAATCTGTAGAACTTTGGTTCACACAATATGAGATAGCTTCTAGAAATCTACCTGAGAGAACTGAGTTGGGAAAGATGAATATAAATACAATCAAACCAATTTCCAGGTGAAAAGAAATAATAATTAAGTTAATATAGGCATAACAGTGTTTTCCCTGGTTCAAGAAAAACCAATTGTATAGTATGACTTGGAGCATGTTAAAGAGTAGGAAAACTAACTTCCTCTTTATCCTTCATAGTTCTTAGGACGAAAGCATGAGAACATGAGAAAGAATAAGAACATTTAATCATATTAGTATCTATGTATAGATGGAAGATAGCCAGGAAAGAGGGAATAAATCTCCAAGATGTTATGTTGCAATAACATCTTCAACTATAACAAATCTGTTAGAGAGATCTGTTAGGGAGGTAGCCAGGCAAAGTACAATGCACATGAGTAAGCTTTGTTATGTGGGTTTGTGGTTATGCCTTCTACATTGACAAGGATCTCTAGTGATTCAATCATCTTTATCTTCCTGGTACATAGAGAGAAAGATGCCATCACAAATAAAGCTTTTCTTTATAGGTGGAAATTTCCCTTGTAAAAAGATAACTCCTACTCTGTGTTCATAGACTCTTCTCAGTCTTCAATCTCAAAGTGAACATTCAAAATAACTCTTATGCCAAAGGGTCATATTTTAGGGTGGTCCATTTTCTACAGTGATCTGGTGTATTGATAATAAACTAAACCCTAAGATTCGAATGCCTTCCTAATCCATATGATTGATCTTGAAATTCCTCCTATGAGTAATTCAGAAGTCTTGATTCTCGAAAATGATTTGGTCATACTGGTTTTAGAAAGAAAAATGTCAAAGAATTACAGGGGTTGGGGTGGGGCACTAAAGCCAAGAAAGCAGTTGGGAAACATTTGTTCCTGCCAACTAAATGTAGAGTGTACCTTCCACTGCTCCTTTCTGCCTAAAGAAGGTTAGGTCAGGAGAAGAAAAGAAAAAAAACACAGAAGGATGGGCAGAAAACTACAAGAAGTCTCTGGAGCAGTATATATTCATCAAAAAGAGAAGTGGAGTCTATAGCATCCATTCCTCTCACTTTGAGCTTGTCTGCCCTCTCAAATTTGAAAAGCAAGAGCTACCTATTGAGTACTGTCTCCTGATGTTTGACACCCTTCTCTTTTTGGACACCTCCCTTTGATCTTATCACTTGATCCTTCTTAATTTAAGAACCTTTTTTCCACTTCCCTCCCAGCTATCATTAACACCTAAGCTTCCAGTTCGCTTATGGCCCCATGGGAACTTGGAAGGCTTTCTTTTCGCTGCTTGTTGGTTGGTCACTGCCTGTGAATGACTTTCCCAAAATTCTACTTTTGTCAATGTAAGCCTTACTTAAATGTTTAACTTAAAAGGACATAAGTCGAGTTCTTAGAGTAAGTTTTACAATTCCATCCTGCCGACCATCATGTGTCCTCTCATTTCTGCCAGTATTCATAGTTTTCTTCCTGTTAACCCCATCAGAATCTCATCCTTAATTTTTTTTAAAAAAAAGCATGAAAAATTTTCAATGCTTCTAAGAGTTCAAAGTTCAATTCAATTTATGGAGGAGGTGGTATTGATAAATCACACCCAGGGTTTTGCCCACTAAGGTACACTCCCAGACTTTAAATCCTCTTCCTTAGTACACATTTTTGGTGGGTCAAAAAAGCTCATCCTTATTTTCTGCTTTCCTTTTATACAAGGCTTGAAATTTAGCTGAGAAACTTCTATTCTTCTGTTGACCTGAATGTTTAGCAAGCTCCTAAAAATAGTTCAGCAAGTCCCAAGTGAAACGTATTTACTGCAATTTGATCAATATTTATTGCATAAAGAACATGAGTAAGGCCCTGGACTAAACATTCTCAAGATATCATCATTACATAATAAATGTGTCATGTATCTGCTTATGAGGAAATCAAATGACAAATGTATTAACATTGGAAGACTGTATTTCACCTACATGTCTAATAATTTGTGATTTTTCTTAAATAAAGTACTCTTCCTTTATTGAAGGGTGAATTCCATGAGTAGATGAAATTGTGGTTTAAGTTACATAAATGTGTTTAATAGCACAATTTCACAGCAAGAATCCAGGATCAATAGATCCAGAAATGTGAATTAAACTATATACTCTTAATCTTGATGTCTATAATGAAAAGAAATATACATACATATCAGAAGTATGTTGCTCAAGTGGCTAGGATGTAAGAAACTATGATCCATTTCTCCTCCCCATTTCCTTCTACAACAACTATGTTAGGGGCTGGGAAGGTGGCTCAGTGGTAGAGCGCTTGCCTTGCATGCATGAGGCCCTAGGTTCAATTCCTCAGCACCACATAAGCAAAAAGAAAAAAAAAGAACTATGTTAAAATTTCTGTAATTACCCTTTTTTTTTTTATCAGTCATGGTGCTTGAACTCTGGGACTAGATGCTGTCCCTCAGCTCTTCAGCTCAAGGCAAGTGCCACTTCTTGTTTTCTGGTGGCTTATTGGAGAAAAGAGTCTTATGGACTTTCCTAACTGGGCTGGTTTTGAACCACAATTCTCAGATCTCAGCCTCCTTAATAGCTAGGATTATAGGCATGAACTACCAGCACCCAGCTATAATTAACTTTTAAAAAAATTAATCATCAATATTCATTGCAGAACAACACGAGACAGATGTATTACAATGATCTTTCCTTTCTTGTATCACTGCTTTAACTACAAAAATTATCTCATGTTTCCTTTGCTTAGTTTTTCAATATAGCCATTGTTTTCATTGTGAAGGTAGTGTACAGAGGGGTTAAAATTTCTATAATTAACTTTTTTAAATGTTTTTTTATCATTAAGCAGTTGTGCAAAGGAGTTGCCATTCACCGGGGCAGTTTGTGGATCCAATGCCTCTTAATGAATGTCACCCCTTTCAACATTCTCACCCACCGCTCTCAACCTACTCCTTCCCACACTTATCTTAATTGTAGGTCATGTATTTAATTTTTTGGCATTTAACAAAGTATTTTATGTAAACAATGCATCTTGATCTGTGTCATCCCTTCACCATCTTCGTTCTCCTCAGCCCCCCCTTCCCTTATAGTTCTCAATTCTGTAAGATACACAATGAAGTCATGCCTGTCTTCTCTCCTTCCTCTCCTCCTTCATTCTTTTACTCCTCTGCCCTTAGCCTCAGCCTCCTCTCTTGCAAGCATTAACCTTAAAAGGAAGCCAAAGTAGTATCTTTCCATTTCTTAACTAAATGAGATGCTTAACAAATAAGTTACAAATTGTGATCTATATAAATATAAAGACAAGCTTGATAACATATATGATTGTTCTCTCTCATGTTGACACCTAGGGTTATCTTTCTTCTAACAAAACATTATGGGAAGATAAGGATTTTAAATTGATAATTCAATGTGATCAGAATGACCAGTCCAGGTACACACTGGGGTAGGAAGTGAGAGTCATTTTGTTTCTTTGTGTGTTCTTCCCCTATGGTATAACCGGTTTTCACTGTATTTGATGTCTGGACCCCGCCATCTTGTATATACAAGGAAGGGAGAGGAAGGGAAAAAACAAAATGCTTAACTAAGGATACGGGTTAACCCATTATAACAATGAGATGTACAAGACACTATGTTGAAAAGGAACTTCACAACTTTGGGGGAGCGAGGGCTGATAGGGGAAAAACAAAGGAGGAGGCAACAATGCTCCATAGGAAATGTACTCATTACCTTGCTTATGTAACTGTAACCTCTCTGTACAGTATTTTTATAATAAAAAAACACATACAAAAAGAAGTAACCAGGCAAGCAGGGTGGCTCTGAAGTAAAGAGCCTGCCTCACAAGCATGAAGACTTGAATTCCAACCACACTACCACAAATAAACATGGATTATGCGAGATGATGGATCTGTTCGTTTGCTTCAGCAAACCGCCCATTTTCCTATCTCCATGTCATCCCTACCATCATGTTGTAAATCTCAAATATGCATAGTAAAACATTTTTGAGAGAAAATTCCGTACTTTGGGAAACTTACCCTAGGGATATTTGAATATCGCAGAGAGAAAATAATAATAACCAAGCTCTAGGCTCATCAGAAAGCAAAAAATTCCCTATATCATACTTTTTGACCAATGCTTTCTAATTCTTCTTTTTCATATCTTTAAATACAGAATCCCCTCCACCTACAACTGAGTTTAGAAAATTCCTTTAGTTCTGATGCTGATGTCACTGTCTCAATCCTCGCCATGAACAACTGGTACAATTTTAGCTTGCTGCTGTGCCGGGAAGACTGGAACATCACCGACTTCCTTCTCCTCATCCAGAATAATTCCAAGTTCCACCTCGGGTCTATCATCAACACCACTGCAGGCCTCTCCTTCACCAACAACCTCTTAAGCTTCCTGCAGGTCCAGCTTGAGAACGTTAAGAACAGCACACCCACCATCGTGATGTTTGGCTGCAACATGGAGAGCATCCAGCAGATTTTTGAAATGGCCACCCAGTTTGGATTAACACCCCCTGAGCTTCACTGGGTGCTGGGAGATTCACAGAACGTAGAAGAATTGAGGACAGAAGGTCTGCCCCTGGGGCTGATTGCTCATGGAAAAACAACACAGTCTTTCTTTGAATACTACGTACAAGATGCCATGGAGTTGGTTGCAAGGGCTGTAGCCACAGCCACCATGATCCAGCCTGAACTTGCTCTCATTCCCAGCACGATGAACTGCATGGATGTAAAAACTACGAATCTCACATCAGGACAATATTTATCAAGGTAGGGTGCAAGGCCTGGATTAAATCCTGGATTATATCTCTGACAAGAAGTCAAATGTTCCTATCTATAGCTCTTGCAGAAATGTTGATTCTAAGTAACTATAAACTTCTGAGAGGGTGTGCATAAGGCTAGCATTTTGTGATCGTTATCTGTAATTTGCTCTCTAGACTTCTAAGGGCAGCATATAGAGAAAGTACACAGGTCTACTTAATTCATTACTCATTTTTGGATTCTTGTCAAGTTTCTAAACTAAAAAATAAGTTTCATAACAAACATGTCATGAAACTATTTATGAAAAGTAATGCCACATTGGCTCATAGTGGTTGCACAAGGAATAGTCCTTTTCCTACCTATTCTTTTCCATATCCATAGACCTAAACAAATCTCTCAATATACCCAGAACAAAGAAAAGTGCACAGGAAATGGATTTTTTCCTCCTCACAGTCCTTGATGCTTAAATAGTAAAGAGAGCAAATTTTAGCTACTTAATAATATCATAACCTGGAAAAGTTACATAGCTTCTCTGAGCCTTAGTTTCCCATGTTCTAAATCAACTTATATAAAATGGATATGAGTAGATTTTGTTATTCATGGAGTTACAGTGATAAATGATCGACAGACAAATGATAGATAGATGATAGATACACATAGGAGAATAGATACGTAGATACAAGCAAAAGTTTCACAAGAGCATTACTATATTTTAATAGTATTGTGTATTATATTTGCATAGTAATTATATGTGCATGCTTTAATTAGGTACCTTTCTATTCAATACCTCAATCTAACTCTGAAGCTATACTAAAAAACCTATTAAGTTAAACACTACCTCTCATCCAAAATAATTTGTGTAATTTTGGGCAAAGGGGAATATCTTTAAAGTATATTTTGTAGGGACCTAGATAAGGACCACTTACAGTCAGAGAGGACAAGTTAAGAATTATTTCTATTTCAGAGGGGAAAGCTAGCCTATAGTCTTGACACTAGTTTTAAGCTGTACTCTTGGAACAGTGACTGATTTGAAGAATGCAGGGAAATTTACCTTTAAAAGCAGGAAGATCTTAAAAGGTTAAGGAAACTTCCAAATTGAGCATCTACCTAACTTTATGCAAGACAATATAGTAAAGGCCATACATATTATAGAATTAAACACTAGCTAAAATTTTTAATGCTGTTAACAAACTACAAAAAAGTCAAATTGGATTTCTATGAATCTATTAATAATTCTATTAAATGTTGTATATCATTTGAACTTTCCATTTCCCCCCTATCGTATTTGAATTTCCTTAAGGTCAATCTATGTAAAAGTTTTATTTCACAGCTTCCATCAAGATTTAATCTATTGTTTGTACAATACCACACAGCAGAGGTTCAGGATTTTGTCTAAGACAAAAAGCAATCTCTTTCACCACAAATGTAGAAGCAAAGCTTTGTTTTATAATTTCAAACAGTCATTATTTTTAGAAGGACAATCATGAACAGCAGGCAGGAAACACCACTAGTGAAAACTTCATTCAGTTATTTAGCATCTTTCTGTCTCATGTAAAATGGAGAGCATAAGAAAAATCATTCTGTTTGGATGCTCAAAATGTTTAGAAGCCACCTAGAGGAATATTTGCTGTCAGGCTAGACAAACCTTAGGGATTCATTTTATCAAGATCAACTGATCATTCTCACTAAGATTTAATTTACATTAAAATTACATGCTTGCTCCCACAAGAATCTCATGGCACTCTGAACATCAAATTTTATGATGTTACTTAGCCCATCCCTCCATCATTATTTGTCTGTGCATCTGACTTCTGAGCTAAAATATAAACTCTATGAAAGAGAAGCACAATTGTTCAAGATAGTCCAATTCCTAGAATATAGCAGACAACTAATAAATACTCACTGGACCTTACCAATGCAGAAAGAAAGAAAAGAGACTGCGTATTGTATTTATACCTTCCAATGTCTGTTACTTTAGAAGAAAATAAGTAGTTGGTAGATAAATGTAGGGGGTTTTTTTACCTGCTTCTTGTCTAGTTTTCTCTTCTCTTTCTTTTTTCTTTGTGGAAACTTGGATGATAACCTTTACCCTCATGACTGTTTCCACATTTTTATTCTACAAGCTTTGAAAGTTGTAAAAGAAGAATGTGAAGTTTAGAGCCCCAGTGGTAATCCACAATGTAGAAGGGTCAGTGACAATATTTTCATCCCTATGGAAGTGTTTGAGAAATGAACTCAAAGAACTTCAGAAAATATGCCTAGGACATCTTAAACTCCCTGAGGAATGCAGTCAAAGAGAAAGTTTCAAAGTGTTCAGGAAAAGGGTCAGCGGAAATGGGCCAATCCCCGGAAGGCTTCTCTATAATGAATAACTTAAAAGCCACGTAAGTCATAAAACATCTGTGGATTTTTCATCATCTTTATTTATTTTGCTTAATTCGGTCTTTTAGAAAGTTTAGTTATTCTCAGCCCATAAGTCACATCTGCATACAGTAATTTTCTTAATTGTCCCTAAATTCTGTGAGGCTGACCTTGCTTCCTCACCACATAATAAAAGCCAGGGGGGATAATGAGCCATGACTAGTGGGTACTGGAGTTATGCAAGCTTTCATTTCTCACAGTGTCATTTTCAGTGTGAACTGACAGAATTGTTAACATTTTAAAATGTTAATGAAGGCACCAAAAACATGGCATTTTTCAGCATTGGCTTTTAGATGAGAAAAATAATTTCTCAGGGTAGACTACATAGACATACTTACAGGTATAAGGAATTTTATTCTCTCTCGTTCCCCACCTGTTAGAGCAAATGCATATCATAACTAAATGTAGACCAAAAGCCTTAGAGCACCAAGACTGTTGAAAGATCTGTAATACTTTATTTGCAAGGTGATTTACTAAAGGTTAATTATGTGGAATGGCTACAGATAGCATATTATTTTGATCACACCTCCATAAAGACATATGTCTAAGTGTTTCTGTCCATCCAACCAATGACCATTTGTTGAGCTAGCATGAGTGAAATATACTGAAGACGACTCTTGTCATTCTGGAGCTGACATTCTCATACATGAATGTTGGTGGTTATAAAATAGAAAAGTAAATTGATGACATGTGTGCTTTGTAACTTGTTTCTAGACAGAGATCCTCCTGCTTCAGCCTCTATGATCCATTAACTTCTAAATATCAGCTTAGATAATTATATATAATTTTTTGCATTTTTGTTGTCAAGGTGATGCACAGAGGGGTTACAGTTACATAAGGAAGGTAATAAGTACATTTCTTGTCCAACTTGTTACCCCTTCCCTCATTTTTTCTCCTACTTTCCCTCCCTCCCTACCCTCCTCCCCCAAGTCATACAGATCACTTCCAACATATTGCCTTGTATATATTGCTGTTGCATTAGTTCCCCCATTTAATCTAAAAGCAATAAGGCATTTTTGAAGATACATATCTACTAATCTGTTTGTATTAAAAATGCATCCAAGCTGGGCATTGGTGGCTCACAGCTATAATCCTAACTACTCAGGAGTCTGAAATCTGAGAAGCATAGTAAAACTAGTCTGAGAAAAAAGTCCATGAGACACTTATCTCCAATTAGTCACCAAAAAGCTAATGACTCAAGTGGTAGAGTGCTAGCCTTGAGCAAAAAAAGCTCAGGAATAGCACCCACGCCTAGAAATAGCACCAAGGCCCAGAGTTCAAACCCTAGCCCCAAATCCATATATGTGTATATATATGTATACACACACACACACACACACACACACACACACACACACACACACATTCTCCAAAGCTAGGTGTCAGTGTCTCAGACTTGTAATCCTAGTTATTCAGGAAACTGAGAACATGGCAGATTGCTTTTGGAAGCCAATATGAGACAAGAGACTCTACCTCCAATTAACAGCATAGTGTCAGACTGGAGGTTTGGCTTATGCAATTGAGTACCAGTATGAGAAAAAAAACCAAAAACAAAAAGCAAATAACTGAATATGCACAAGGCCCTGAGTTTAAGCTCCCCCATGCAAGCTAAAAAATAAAGAAATACAACAAGAAATTAATGGAATGTTTTCTTTACCAGAATATTACCTCCACTTAAACATTGCATGCAATATGATATCTAAAGCATTTTAAATAACTAAACAAAAATATAAACAAATACACTTGAAATAAAAACTTCGTATATGCTCTCAGTCAGATCTACTAAGGAAGACATGAAAACCTGCAGAAGAATCTGCTGGGTCCTGATGGCTTACCCCTATAATCCTAGCTATTCAGAAGGCTAAGGTCTGAAAGCACAATTTGAAGCCAGCCAAGGCAGATAAATCCAAGAAACTCATATTTCTTGAAAAGTAGAGGTGTGGCGTGAGTATTAAAGCTCCAGCCTTGAAGAAAAAAAGCCAAGCAGGAAGATAAAGGTTTGAGTTAAAGCCTAAGTATTCGTTTGCACGCGCATGCACACACACACATACACACACACACACACACACACACACACACTTGCCCACATACACAAGAAATGTAGAAGACCAAACGACATACCCAACCAGCTTCATTTAATACATGAAGTTAAAAGAAATTATTTTCTTTTGTTCATTTGACATTTATAAAACTCAATGCATTTTCCTACAAAGGAAATTACCATAATAGAAGATGGGAGCATTTTAGAGGCTGAGATCAGTGATAGAAACTTTGCCTTGCATATGTGTTCCCCACAGCCCTGCAAATCAGCAAACATTTTTAAATCTACTTTCTCTAATACAATGAAAATAAATATGTGCCAGGCACCAGTGACATACACCTGTAATCCTAGCTACTCAGAAGGCTGAGATCTGAGCATCATGGTTCAAAGCTAGCCTGAACAGAATCCCCATGAGACTCTTATCCCCAATTAACCACTCAAAAACTGCAAGTGGAGTTGTGGCTGTAGAACACAAACCTTGAGCAAAATAGCTCTGGAACGGTACCCAGGTCCTAAGTTCAAGTCCTTCAACTAACAAAAAGAAAAA